GGCACATCGACCCCACAGACTGGACACTGTGGCACATCGACCCCACAGACTGGACACTGCGGCACATCGACCCCACAGACTGGACACTGCGGCACATCGACCCCACAGACTGAAACAGGATGGACACTGACTGACCGACTCTCTCACCTGCATCATCAGCCCGTTCTTGGCCGGCAGTTTGGACAGTGACCTCTGACCCCTCTTGTCCGAGTGGGGGGAGCTGGTCAGGGGGGCGGCCCCACGGTGGGAGCTCTCTGGGGCTGCTCTGCTCCTCCGGCTGCCCGCTCCGGAGTCTGCTGGGGCGCCAGCGGTTCTTCCTGAATCGGCTCCCAAGGACCGGGAGCTCTTCTCTGCGGACACTCGCGGATCGTGGCCCCCAGGGGGCCGCTCGGTTCCTCCCCGGTCCGTCCGCCCCGCCAGCTCCTCCCCCAGCCCCAGGCTCTCCAGGAAGAGCCCCCCCAGCAGGCCCCCGTCTTCCGCGACCTCCTCCCCCTGCAGGCACAGGCGCTCCAGCGTCTCGAAGTCCTCCAGCGGCTCCTCCTCCAGGTCCCGCCACAGGCAGCCCAGGGGCCGCCGGGCCGCGTCCAGGGGCCCCCCCTCCTCCGCTCCTTCCTGCCAACCCGAAAGGTGGCCAAACAGATCCCGGTTTCTCCAGGACAGATCCTCGGGCCCGGTCTTCCGGGAGGGAGCCGGGAGCTCATCTGCGATTCCGGAGCCCGACGAAACAGTGGGGGGAGACACATCCCGAGCCGGAGGAGGAGACGGGCCCCGATTGTTGTGGCGCTGCCCTGGGATTGCCTCTGCGTAGAGCGCAGGTGCGTGGGATACCTGGGACAGGCAACAGTCCGCTCCCTCCAGAGGCTCTCCGTCACGATCCGGCCGGATCTCCCGGCTCCCTATCTCGCCAAGCGGATGCCTGGGGCCACATTCCTGACTTTCGACGCCGCCAGGACCTTCGGCTGCCTGCTCCAGGTTCTCTGTGAGCGGACGAGGGCAGAAGCCCGCCTCTCCGGTCCTGCCGGGATCGGGCCCAGCCCACTCGTTGAAGTCCTGGTTCTCGCCTCCTGAATCCACAGGCCGGGAGCAAGACTCCCTGTTCCCATCACATTCCATCACCCGCGAGGCGCTCACACGGGGGGCTGCTGGGAAGGCACCTGGATTCTCCAGGTTCTCCAGCTCCGGCGAGCCCCCCTCCCTCCCGCCCTCGCCGTCTCCTTCGGAGCGTGCCTCTGGAATCTCGGCGTTCTCTTCCTGGCGCACCTCCGGGTGTGGCCCCGGGGCATCGCTGTGCCTCTCCTGCTCCCCCGGGCAGCCCAGCGTCTCGTCATTGGCCGCCGCGCCGGGTCCTGCCAGCCCCTCGAGGAGGGCCGGGTGTGGCTCCCCTCCCGCCAGCTCGTCATTCTCCTTCTCTGCCAAGACTCTGCGGCCGACGTCCCCCATGACCTCGCGGGCGGTGGGGCTCCCCTCTCCTGCCGCCCACTGGTCGTTCTCCGCCGGAGACGGGGCACGCTCGAGACCGCCCAGCCCCTCCGGTGCCCCCGTCACTCCCGAACCTGCGGGCTCCGGGTTCTCCCCTCCCACCCCCTGAGACAGGGGCTTCTGGGAGTCCGGTTCCAGAGGCTCATCCTTGCCGGGGCCCCGGGGGCCCCTCAGACCCAATTCATTGGCTTCTTGGAGCTGAAATTCCGGGGCTACCAAGCTCTTGTTCCCGGAACCATCCTTCCAGACTCCTATTCCAGCTCCCGCAGGAAGATCCAGACTCTGTTCCTGGTCAGAGGAGCAGGGAAGGGGAGTCTCCTCCCTAGGGGGGCTCCAGGCCAGGTCCCCTTTAAGGGGGTGCGCCTCGCGGTCCACAAACCCCTCCCCAACCGGGAGACATCCCGTCTTTCCCGAACGTGCTCCTGCCTCCTCCTCCACGCTCCTGCTCGGCCCCACGCTCTTCGGTCTCGGCTCCCTGCTTCGCGTGCCAAGAATCCGGGCAGGATCCCTCAGCTCCTCCGTGCAGAACACCAGCCGCGCCGGGAGCTCTTCCGAGATCCCCTTCCCCGCGGCCTGGCGGGGGTCTCCCACCTGTCCGATCACCGGGGACACGAAGGCGTCTCGGCTGAGGACAGACTCTTCAACGCGCCATCCTCCGCAGTCTCCCACGAGGGTTTCCAGACTTCCCCAGCCCGGTTTCTCTTCTCTCCCGCTCTCCGCAGTTACTCCTCCCCGCTCCTTCTCCCCTTCCTCCGTCCTCTCCTGGATCCCCGTCAGCTTTCCCAGGCTGCCTCTCTCTCCCCTGCTGAGGCCCCACCCTCCGTCCGGCCCC